ACGTATGTTTTTCTCTTTTTGTCCTATGTGTCTGTTCTATTTTCTTCTACTTGTTGTATTTTTTTTTTTGCTTGATTTTTATTCCTTACTTTTCTCTCTCTCTCTCGCTCTCTCTCTCGTAGATATCATCAAACACATACATATTTATTTGTCGGTGTGTGTAAATATATATATGTATTTATAGTTCTATATCCCTCTCTCTCTCTCTCTCTCTATCTCTCTGTGTCGTTTCTCCGTTTCTGATTCCTCTGTCCTGAATTACTTGAAATCTAGGCAACGAGAAGAACGCAAGAGAAGCCGGTAGCGATAACCTGCCGACGTTCGTTGTCCGTGAAACAGTGAATTACGCGCGCACTTCTTCGTGAAACGGTTAATCGTCGTCTATCCACAGAAACTGCACCGCGGTCCGTGGTCACAATATGGTTCGGGAAACACACACACATATATACATACGTGTGCATATATACACATATATATGTAAATATTATATATATATGTATGTATGTAAAAAAAAGTATACAGCAATGTATCACAAAAGTTGCGTGTGTATATAATACATATATTATAGTTGAACAACTTTTTCCTTAACACAACGAACGAACGTGAGAAAAAAAAAGAAGTTAACCAGCGTTTAAATAAAAATCAGAAAAAAAGTAAGCACCGCTAAAAGCTGGCTCCACCCCCTCCTTTTACCAAGTGGCCAATGGCAGCGAAGCGTTTCTCATTCGTGCGAGGAATGAATATGATAAATATATATATATATAAATATATTTATATATACTTGTATATATATACATATATTTATATATGTATGTCTGTATAGATGTTCTGCGTGTGTAGATGTGTGTAAGTGTTTCGTGTAATATGTCTGTGTATGAATGGATATAAGGATGCGCGTGTATTTTGTACAGATATATAAAAGTAGGGTATTCTCGAGAGAAGGGGTTAAGTAAAAAAGATGATAGTAAATAGAAAATGTATATAAATATATATATACATACGTGTATCTATATATATATAAATAGACGTACAGGTGGAACAAGATAATAAGCGTAAGAAGAAAAGGAACGAGGCGCTGCGCATTGGCCGAGCATAAATTACATGGGTATGTATATATATGTATATATATATATATACGTATATATAAATACATATGTGCTTTTATATATATAGATTTCTCTTTATCTTTTCCGTAAACAAGAATATCGGTGGGTGGTTAGGTAAGATTTTTGGAGGCTACAGCATTCAAAGGGAATATATATCTTTGTGTGTTTGTTTGGCACGTTTTTTAGTTCCGCTCGAACGTCTCGTCGTTTTCGTAGGAGCGGCAAACGTTATTAAGATGGGTTCAACGAGACAACGGCTTCCTTTATCTCTCGTACACGCTCGACTTTCTTTCGTGTATATATATGTATATTCTATATATATATTTATGTAATATATATAAATATCTGTATATGTATACATATTTTTTTTGTTCTGGTTTCGATTATTACACGATTACAGCATTATTACACGTTTTGTTACTTTACTTTTATATATATATATATATAGTGTAGTATTTTTTTGTTTACTTTTACTGTGTTTTTTTTTTGTTATATATATATATTTTTTTCTAGATTTTCGAGCCGTCACAGGTTAACACGCGACACGCAAAGTAGGTCTCGTGCATGGTTCTCGAAAACCCGTATGAAAACACGGTGCGCGTCGTGTTTCCGATACGTTTCGATACACGGCTCTAGGGGCCGTGCCGAAAGATTCGTTTCGGGTTGCATAGAAAAAAGGAAACGGTTCTTTAGAGACCGATTTTTTAGAAACCCGTGACACGTAATGAACGTCCTGGGAGCCTATTCACCTGCTCCAGACGCAAATCACACATATGCATGGACATTTCTATATAGATATATATATATTATATTTTTTTTTTTTTTTTTTGGTTACACTCTCTGCGAAATTTGTTGACCTTAATTTCATGTAAGGATGCTAGCTCAGGCGTCGTCCGCGAGTTAACATCTTAACGAATTGCGCTCGTCAACAAATTCATCGACTCGAGTTCGAATATATATGTGTATGTATATATATTTTACTGTTTTTTTTTCCTATATTTTTTTTTTGCTTCTTTTTTGGTTTTTGCTTTGAGTGTACTTGAGTCTAAGGTCAAAAAATAGCCTCCCCGGAAACATGTGTTGCCGCGATACTGCGTTTCGTGCACATNCAATGGCAGCGAAGCGTTTCTCATTCGTGCGAGGAATGAATATGATAAATATATATATATATAAATATATTTATATATACTTGTATATATATACATATATTTATATATGTATGTCTGTATAGATGTTCTGCGTGTGTAGATGTGTGTAAGTGTTTCGTGTAATATGTCTGTGTATGAATGGATATAAGGATGCGCGTGTATTTTGTACAGATATATAAAAGTAGGGTATTCTCGAGAGAAGGGGTTAAGTAAAAAAGATGATAGTAAATAGAAAATGTATATAAATATATATATACATACGTGTATCTATATATATATAAATAGACGTACAGGTGGAACAAGATAATAAGCGTAAGAAGAAAAGGAACGAGGCGCTGCGCATTGGCCGAGCATAAATTACATGGGTATGTATATATATGTATATATATATATATACGTATATATAAATACATATGTGCTTTTATATATATAGATTTCTCTTTATCTTTTCCGTAAACAAGAATATCGGTGGGTGGTTAGGTAAGATTTTTGGAGGCTACAGCATTCAAAGGGAATATATATCTTTGTGTGTTTGTTTGGCACGTTTTTTAGTTCCGCTCGAACGTCTCGTCGTTTTCGTAGGAGCGGCAAACGTTATTAAGATGGGTTCAACGAGACAACGGCTTCCTTTATCTCTCGTACACGCTCGACTTTCTTTCGTGTATATATATGTATATTCTATATATATATTTATGTAATATATATAAATATCTGTATATGTATACATATTTTTTTTGTTCTGGTTTCGATTATTACACGATTACAGCATTATTACACGTTTTGTTACTTTACTTTTATATATATATATATATAGTGTAGTATTTTTTTGTTTACTTTTACTGTGTTTTTTTTTTGTTATATATATATATTTTTTTCTAGATTTTCGAGCCGTCACAGGTTAACACGCGACACGCAAAGTAGGTCTCGTGCATGGTTCTCGAAAACCCGTATGAAAACACGGTGCGCGTCGTGTTTCCGATACGTTTCGATACACGGCTCTAGGGGCCGTGCCGAAAGATTCGTTTCGGGTTGCATAGAAAAAAGGAAACGGTTCTTTAGAGACCGATTTTTTAGAAACCCGTGACACGTAATGAACGTCCTGGGAGCCTATTCACCTGCTCCAGACGCAAATCACACATATGCATGGACATTTCTATATAGATATATATATATTATATTTTTTTTTTTTTTTTTTGGTTACACTCTCTGCGAAATTTGTTGACCTTAATTTCATGTAAGGATGCTAGCTCAGGCGTCGTCCGCGAGTTAACATCTTAACGAATTGCGCTCGTCAACAAATTCATCGACTCGAGTTCGAATATATATGTGTATGTATATATATTTTACTGTTTTTTTTTCCTATATTTTTTTTTTGCTTCTTTTTTGGTTTTTGCTTTGAGTGTACTTGAGTCTAAGGTCAAAAAATAGCCTCCCCGGAAACATGTGTTGCCGCGATACTGCGTTTCGTGCACATTCGTTTAGCAGTCGCGCAACGCTGAACACGGTAAAATTAACAGACGACAATTTCTGAAAAATTAAATTCATTAGCACATCGTAACAAAGCAGTTTCAATTGTTTTTTTTACTTTTATATCGACCTCGTTAATTATATGCCCGAAGTTTCGTTAGAGAATCGTGAATGGAGCAAGTGATACAGATCGCTTGTTAAAGCATCGAAACAACGGCTCAGGAAGACTTGTAAACTGAGTGGAGATTCGATTGCAGCTACCACCGTCGATCGACCTCGACGAATCGTGCGAAAATACAATATACAGCACCGGTACAATTTCATTTCGATATTTATAGGAGAAAACTCGATTACGTTGAAATAGATTTCTAAGCTGTTCTCTCTTATGCTATTCAAATATTCCATGCTGTACAACAGTCTGTTCCTTAATTCGTGTCCAAATAGAATCGTAATCGTTGTACAATCAAATATTTGGTTCAAATCTTTGCGCACAGTTCGACCAAAATGTGCATAATAATGAATTAAATACGAAAGTCGATCGGTTCAACAATTTTTCGCGGAAAATACGTGTAACGATGTTTCGTTAAAATATCTCTTGTACCATCGCCACGTGGTCCCTAATTTATTCGACTGATACACACGGCTTGGAAGAGGGCTGCTACGTGCCATGCTAATGGTATGTAAAGTGGATTACACATCTTAATGCATATTTCAAATAAACGTGTGCACAGCTTCTCCCCGTTTATTGCTGTCACATTTCTAATGCATATCAACTTTCAAGAGTTAATATTCAATTAGCATGTAACCGGTGGACAGTAATTTAAATAATGGACAGCCATTAAGCTTTAAATAACTGTTCCACGGTGTTACAAGCGAACAGGAATTACACATTAATTACCCAAATATATAACATAAAATTGTTGAACTCTCTCGGAACCTCTACATATTTAATACATCATCTGACACCACGATTTACCACTGACCACGCAAAAATTTGACTTGGATAGCTGACACGAATACCTCTTGCTACCGTTCTAAAAAGAGACAAAAAAAGATAGTGAAAGAAAAATTCCAAGAACAGTTTACAGCCGAGTCCATGTTAGTCCATGTGTGAACTTGCAAGAATTGTAATCGCGTCGTTCTTTATCGACGAGAATGAGACGTTAAACTTGCTCGTGCTAATATAGATCAGAGAAAGAACGCGTTAGAGACAATGATTATATTGAATTGCGGCGCAAACCGTCGATCGAGTAAAGCTGATTGAAATGGTGTCTCTTACCTTGCTTGAAACCTTCGCTCCCTTGTCTACTGTGCGGCCGCGCGAACGTCTCGTCAGAGGCTGAAGTACAAATCGAACCGGTTAAATGCGCCGATCGCCGATCGAACTTTCGAGCAATCGTTAAGCAAAAGAACGAGCGGAAAAAAAGAACCGAGGGGAAAAAAGAGAGAGAGAGAGATATAGATAGAGGGAGAGAAAGAGAAAAGAGAGAAAGAAGAAGCAAGGAGAGGCTGGTTACCTTGGGCAGAGGTGCTAGGCGTTGGTTCAGGTTCCCGTTTGACGCGAGGCGTCAGCGACTCCGGCGTGTCGGTACCGTTCTCCGTCGGCTCGTCCTTTCTCGACGACGACAAAGAGGATGCCAGGCTGGTCGCCGCGGATCCCGAGTTCCCGACGTTGTTGCTGCTAACGTTGTTGTTGGCCGCCGACGCGCTCCCAGCGTTCCCGCTTCTACCGGTGTTACTACTACCCTCGCCGCTCTGAAAGTCGATACTCATCTTCATTTCCATCATCTCCGGCGAGCCCTGCACGAGATCGGCGCCCGAGCAGGACTGCATCTCCTGGCCGGAGATCTCGCCGATCGGCGTGTCCGACGAGCCGCTCAGCTTCCTCGGCCTGCCCCTTTTCCTCTTCGGCGCGGACAACGCCGAGCCGAGGAGAGGATGGCTGGACATGTGGTGCATCCTCTTCTGCGAGACATGGTGGTGAGGCCCGATTTGGTTTATTCTATGTAGACTCGGCGGTGGTGGAGGTACTGTGTTTTGATTTCCAAGCAACGACGAGGTAATGCTAGGCAAGTCGCACTTGTCCTCGTTTACCTCGGTCAGGCCCTTTATCCTGAGGGACTCAGCGACTCTCAGGAAGGCGGTCAGCCTGTCCTGGTCGACGCTCACCTCCCCGCGGTACATGAAATCCAGAAGGCTACGCATGTCCACGTACGGGACATCCTTGAGAATGACTATCGGGTGCTTGTCGGGGTGGCCGACGAAAAGGGCCTGCAACACGCACAAGAACAACACGTTCAGTGGCCGCAAATATTTGCGAATACTGCTTCATTCTCAACTGTGTTACATATGCTTCGTTTGGAACAGCAATTTGTTTCTGTATTAAATGAAATACTAGTTGAAATATTTCATCGATTAGACGAATATTATAGTATGCGTTTAAAATTGCATATATTTTACAATGTGTACCTGAAATACTTACAGCGGCTCGCGTTAATATTCTGACACCATCTAAAACAGAATAACTTTTTCCGAAGTGGACCGAATGACTTGTACTTTTTTTTAGATGGCAATGTTTACTGTTTTTCTTAAATTGCAATTGTTCGGAATGGAAAAGGAAATAAGAAACTCGCGTTTTATAATTTCTTTATCCGAGATTCTTACGAAAACTTAAGACAATTAAAGATCATGAAAATTGCAGTATTTTGCGGATTCTTTTAGCGGCTGTGATTTGTGTATGCGTCAACCGATTTCAACGAAACTTTCAATAAGCATATAACTCACCGAAATCTACAAGACGCATTTTTTAAATTTCCGTTCCGCGTTCTGATAAAAGGATTTAAAAAGCGAAGAATTTTTATTTTGTTGTCATTCCAAGTAATAGAAAAAGTAGAAGAAAAATATTCTCAGTCTTTGTACAGTAAACTAGTCCCTTTAATGTTAAACAAAAATTCAAGCCATTTAGTCCGGTTTTTAAAAAGTTGTTGCGTTTCAAAGGGTGTTCGAAAACTTTATGCCAGGGTGTGCAGAATCCGATTCATTAAAACTTGATTTTATTCCTGTTCTGGCATCGAGAGTACGTCGAAGGACAGGGTAGAAGGATCTTACCTGAAAGTAGGGGCTACACGCCGACAGCACCATTTTGTGTGCCCTGAGTAGCTGACCCTCAACGGCCAGCGTAACGTCGACGAACGACTCGTCATGGAGTAGTTGGTCGAAAACGGAGAGTAGGTTACTTTGATGATTATTCCAGCGCAGACAAAACCTCTGCGACGCCATCGCTTCGCTTCTCAGATCCGCCAAGTTACCGTTAATGTCCGCTAACATCAGATCTAGTGTCGATCTTTTTATTGGTATTGCTGCCGCCGCCTCGTCGTCGCTTCGTTCCGACTTCTTCGACGAAGCCGCTTGCTCTTGCTCGTGCTCCTGCTCTGTCTCGTGCTCTCTTCTTCATCGGCCACAGCTTATCATATCCTTCCCTCTCGTGATCTACGCGGCAAAACAGCAACAAGACAATGGTAAATGCGGGAATCCCGGGAAACCGTGCGCGCTTAACCTTTGGACGGCGGACATGTTCGAGCATTTATGGCAGCCACGGCCAGGTCCATTCGAATCTTCGCGATTCATTTCCATCTGTATATTATCAAAACCTCTTTGTCGAGACCAAAGTTAATCCTTTTATTAGTTTCAATATCAATAGTTAACGATCACATGCGACTGTCACAAAATCAGAATTTAAACGGAACGTTTGTAACTCTGGGTCCAAATGGACCCGGCGCGCCCGCCGTCCGAGGGTCAATCGGCGAACTCGATCAATCGCAATTATAAATTATGAACAAAAGAATCGATTGCCGCGTGCGAGAGAACCGCCGCGGAGGAGGTGCCCGTCCAATCGAGACGACGGACGCGACAAATGCCAGGAGCAGGCCGGAGAGGGGCTCTTACAAAAACGCTATTTTCGGAGTCATGTTTATGCAACACACGGTCCCACGATTTAAGAACCTCGCGTACATCCCGTCTCTTAATTTTGGCATTTAAAAAAAAAAAGAAAAAAAAAAGAAAAGGAAAGACCGTCTAGGCGGCCATTAATTCCGAGTGGCTGTTGCATAAGCGATCCGCGGGCATCGTCGCTCCGTCCGTCCGTCCATCTGTTTCGGGCCCCGTCCGCGCGCAACACTCGCCGCCGCTACATTCGAAAATCGTATCGCCTGGATCCTGGAGCCCTCTAAACCGTTCCACGCGTATACACGCTAACGACTGCATACATAATCCATATAAGCTCGCGAGACGATACGCACGAGGTATGAGCGTGGGCGTACGACCCTGGAGGACGTAGGTTGGGCGAATAGGCGACTCGCTCGGTTCGTGCCTTTTATGTAATTCTCTCCTCACCCCTTCACCGGGCCAATCACGGTCACGTACGCAACGTTTGTTCCACCAAGACCGCCGGAGAGACGCGTGTTGTGGCCGGGGACGACTTTCCTCGGGCCGGCCAAAGGGCGGAATCGGTTAGCGACGAGGGAAAAGGCTTGGGAACAGCTCCGGACAGGTAGGTCGGCCATCATCGTCCCACGACAAAAGAGATGGTCCGCGTTCAAACCAAACAGGATCGCCTCTCTCACTCTCCCTCTCTCTCTCTCTCTCACTCGAATGTTCCACACGAAATCTCGAGACGCGAAATAGAACCTTTTCCCGCAGCGCAGAGGTCAGAGAAAAAAGAGAAGCAGGAAGCGAGCCAGCGTCCGAACAGATGATACATCCCGCGAGCGAAAAAGAGAGAGAGAGATAGAGAGAGGGGGGGGTCCTGGCCTCCGCCTCCTCAATCCTCGCGACTATACAAACGTGGAGAAGAGGTCGGCGGGTCGGCCGGGAGAATCAATAGCATTTTCTACGCATTCGGATCGATACCGGGTTCTCCGGTCGGTTTCGCGCGCAAATCTCGATACACGTAGAGACACCGACGCGGAGGACGGGTGGCTCCGCGATGCTGGGATGCCTCCGTGGATCGCGCGCGGCCACCCACAAACGTGCACGCGTATATCGTTCGTATATTCGATATAAATGCAGGATGGCTGTGCTCGACCTTGCTCGACCTTGTTAGTAGCCTGAGTGAATGGTTTTCACGGTGAATGGCACGTCATCGTGATGCGGTACACCGTGTGCATTAACGGGCGAGAGCGAGCGGCCGAGCAAGCAGCAGCGAGCGAGCGAGCGAGCGAGCGAGCGAGCAGGCGAGACCGCGCTCGTTCTTCTCGCTCGCGATCGAGGATTTCTGAAATGTCGTGCCGCGAGTTTCGATCGTCGCTTCCTTCTTTCGACATCGGCCGCGCCGAGCGCGCAACCTCCGGCGTTCCTGATAAATGGATTACGTAACAAAATCGTGCAAACTCTCCCGGTCCGGTCGGCTCGATTAAATCGGCTGTGCAAAACTGGAGCCGGCGCGAGAGGAGAGGAGAGGAGCGCGGAGCGCAGAGGAGAAGAGAGGAGAGCGTGGCGTGCCGCGGCGTGGCGCGCGCGCGACCGACAGTGCCGCGAAGCAGATGATGCCTATCGATCTGGGAGAACGTTTTCAGTGTCCTCTCCGGCTGGTGTCCGTGTAAAAAAGTCGTCTCGCGTAATCGAGAGACGCGACGCGCACAGAAGAGCGGTCGCGCGCGAACGCCGCGCCGCCGTGATCTAAAAGGACGCTGGCTGTTAATCGCGCTGAGCGTCCTCCTCCTCTCCCCGCGCGGTCATTGAAAAACAAAATCTGATGACCTCCGCCGCGCCGGGGGAAGCTGGAGCGGCATATAGTGCTCGCGAACGTAAAGAAAATTGTATCGAGAAAAGATCTGGGAAGTAAAAAGGAAAAAATGTCTGTCGCGCGTTTGTGTTTACTTTGCCGATATCGTTTGACGCGCGGTTACGTCAGGGAGCCGTGTGTTGAATCAACTGGAATTTTTCTCCTTGCGTTAGCATTATTATCTACATATGTAGCCGGCGACTTGTTCCGCGGACGCTTCTCGCCGCTTCCTCTTTCTCTTCTCGCCGTTTCCCCCCTTTCCCTCGTTCTTTTTTCGCGATCGGTATCACTCCGTTCGCCGGGAAGAAGGGAGTGTTGCCGAACGTACGCCCAATGAACCGTGCAGGAAAGTTGGCCGAGGAAACGCGAGCCAACAGTCGGACACCGAGTGACAGCCGTGCACACAGTAGACGACCGACCCGCAGGAATCGCTCTTGCGGGATGCTTAGAGGCTGCGCACGGTGCTTCGATCGGATGGTAATTAGCCGGAGGGTACTCGTGGCGCTAAATTTTCCAGTTTTTATGATAGCGATGAGACTACTAAAGAGGCGCGGCAGGCAGGGAAGCGTTCACAGCCGCTCGCGAGACTTTCGATGTTGCAAGAATCGCATGTTTGCGCTTCTCCCCGTTGTCGTCCGACGGAAAATTGTTGCGGAAATTTCAGACGCTGTCGGAACGGACGATTTTTTAGCGGAGAGCCCGCCGAAGAAAAAACTGCGCAACACAGCGGACCGGCGGGAATTATTCGGAGCACTGTGTACACAATTGCGTTCCTTGAAAGGTGCACGTTATAACCAGGCATCGAGCCACCTCTTAGGCATATTTGTTTAGTCGCGCACACCACCGCCGGCTGCGACACGCCGTGTTCGACCAGTTTTCGACCGAACGGGAAAAAACGCTCGACGCCCGTGGCGACGCGAGCCGTGAAATAAGAGCCGTTTTCTGGCGTCGAACGCGAAACGTCACCGCCGGCTCGGATACCATTCAGGTTATCAATAGAACCTTCGTAACGAATCCGCGAGATACTTCCTCTAGATTCCCCTATTACCACCGAGAAGAAACTTCGTGTTCGCGGAAACGACGACGAACGCCTGAACGCACGAATTTTCTTATTCGCTTTTTGCTGGCTACTTAGGGGACTCGAGGTACGTACGAACCCGTGTTCGCGAGTAGTTAACGATGCGTACCACGTCATACGTATTAATCGTGATGCAACAACCGGCAAGAGTTTGTAAATGCCCGGCATAAGAAGCGCCAATGATTCCTACCGATGATAGCTAGCAGTCCGGGGCCTTAGTGGCACGTATTATAGAGTCTACGGCTCCGAAAATAAACGGTCCTCGTCGGTGTGATTAACAGGCCGCTTCAGCTGTGTTTGACTAAACAATTTTCGAGGCGTCGTCGCATTAACGACGGTATAGGGGCCCGGTGTGATTAGGGGTCGAATTAGTCATCCTTCGGTCTCGTTAACCCTCGATTAGCGGGCGTCGGGATCATTTTGACCCAGAGTCACAAGGATTCCACCTAAATCCTAATTTCGTGGCTCAACTATTAATATCGAGGCTAATTAAAGGATTAACTTTGGCCCCGATAAAACGCGTTTAAAAGCATACAAATTCGTAAGATTTGAATGGACCCAGCCATGGCTGCTGCAACTACTCAAAAATATCCGGCGTCCAAGGATTGAAGGAGCCTACGAAAGGCGTCGCGAATGCGAGGCGGTGCACCGACGCGGATTGACGAATCGTTTTGCTCTAATAACGGGAAATTCGGTTAAGAACCACGAAAGCGAATCGATGGGGATCTAACGGCCGTGCGATCCGTTCGATCACGCGTGCGACCGCGAGAGAGAGAGCCGACCGATAAAACTCGATTAAACGATATTTACGACTTCTCCTCCCATCGGGCAGAGTTATACGGGCTGTAACGAGCAGATACCGAGACCCCGTGAAAACTGTTTTAATTGAATAGATAACGATATTCGGTTAACGATTCGGAAACAAACGGAACGGCGAGCGATAAACGCGGGCAACAGTCTGCGAGAGAGCCGGCTTCGGTTCCCCGATGTACCGCTCGTACGAACTTCGTCCCGTTACATTCCCTTAACCATCACGGTCACCACCATTACCATCGGCATCATCGCCACCGAGGCTCTTCTCTGTCCGACATTATCATCGTCGTCGTCGTCGTCGTCGTCGTCATCGTAACCGACCCCATTGTTCGTTGGTTACTACTTGGCTATGTACAGGCCAGCTCAACAGTTGTGTAATTGTTTAACAAAAAAATAAAAAAAAAGAAACGTTCGTTATGTATTTTTCATTTTATAATTAATTCGACGGTTTCAACATTTCAGGCCTTTTACAGACATTTCTATTCGGAAACGGCGGATCGTAGTTTAAAAATTGTTCAAACGAGGATCGTGGATGTTAAACCACAGTGTACGTGCGTGGACGGGAAGGTCGGTGGATTGATTCTTTCTCACATCCGTCACGATTGCATCCGGCGCGATTATTAAAATGTTGTCCAATGGTTAAGTTCTAACGCTGTTGCGTAAACAGATTTACGCTGGATGTAATATAATTAGACCGCGGATCTTTATGTAAAATAAAAAATTCCTCGGGACGCTTGTAAACAACGTAAATTAGATAAAAATAGATTGCTTCCGTTAATAATTTTGATCGGTTGCGAAGAGTGTAACGATATTATT